GCTATGTTTTCCAGATAGAGATGATTGTTCGGGCCTCAAGAAAGGGTTATCGCAATTCACAAGGAAAAGGTAGTTGTGATAAGTAATCTGCAATTTTTGATAAGGTTCTCCATATGAATACTATATTTTCATCTTATCAACATGAGATAGCTGCTTCATCAGTGGAGTTGGTTGTGAAAACTTTTGGTAATTTTGTGAGAATGACTGGGCTTCAAACTGCTGCTTGGAAATATATGGTGCAATTGCAAAGATGGGATTAAAAGAACTTGCTGTTAAAAAATAATCAATGAGATCAAGCTCAAGCTTGGAGAAAGCTGTTTGAAGCTCGCAATTTATGATTTTAAAGGGTATTACTAGATTTATTATTTGATCAGTTTAAAGTGAAACCTTTAATTATTTTTAATTATAATTAGTTAGTTGTATGTGAATTCGTTTTGGTACTAACGCTCCAATTAAAACTGTCAAATCTTGAACTCAAGTCATTCAAAATTGGAGACTGTCGAGCCTCAATATCCTAGGCTCGGTATAACAGGAACTTTAAAAGTTTGTATATATAGTTCAGCTATGTAAGGTTTGTGACGATGTTCCATCTGCAATCCTTGGGCATGCGCATCATTTTTACTTTATTTCAATTTCATCTTTGATTGATATACTCTAGGAAGCTCATTCATGCATAAATCTTGTTCTCTTGTACACAAATACTCAACATTACCTATCTTTTGGGAAGTTTATTCAGCCATTATCGAAGTTGGATTCTTCATAGTTCGCAACTTGTAAATGAATTCTTCCCTTTTGAGATCCTTCTACAGTCTTTTTTTTGATAGAAAGAGAATGACAGTTTATATTGTCTGCATTTTATGGCAAAATGTCATGTGAATAATTTTCATGTTGTAGCATTGGGATATTATATGAACCGCCATTTGACTATAAATAGGATCGTGTGCTAAATTGTTGAGTGCTTGAATATTTCTCTTGGGATTTTGGTTCGTGATTTTCATAGGAATGTCAGTAAGGTTAAATCTCTGCCTATTTAATTGTATTCATATTTCTATGGCAAGTTTGGAAGAAATTGGCTGCTGCTTGGATTGGCTACATCTTTAAGAACCGTTATGTATGTCCGTTCAACAATCATCACGCACTTTTTCTTCACTAGTAATTAGAAAAGGAGGATCCGCATAAAATCGATGAAACGAAAGAAATTCGAATGCTTGAAGTTCTTTAAAAACTTTTGCCTTCTTTAAAATATCTTGAACCCTTTTCAAGGAAATATAAGCGGGTGTTTGGCTCCCATTCTTAGCTAATTTTAATGGATGGAATAATATTTTTTTGAAAAATGAGTAGTTGATAAAGAATGAAAAATTTTTGATTTGTGTATAATATTATTTTATGGAAGATTGTGTGGTTGAAAATAAGAGAGAAAAAATGAGAATGAGATAAGAATGGGGCCAAATATGGGCTAAAATAGCATCCTTTTCAAGGATATATAAAATAGCAGGCAAAATTGGAATCTTTTTCATTTTACTTCCATTTTTTATAAGAACTCAGAAGGAATGTTTCATTCAAATGTATGTGTGAGCTCCCATGTGAGGAGGCACGAGACTCTATGCATTGAAAAGTGTGCTCATAGTCTTGTCCTAAAAATTTACTATAGCCCATGTTTGTTTCCATTTTTATTCTCATTCTTTCTGTCATTTTTAATTATACAATCTTTTATAAAATAATATTACATACAAATTAAAAACTTTTCATTTTTTTTAGTTACACATTTTTCAAAAAAATATTATTCTATCCATTAAAATTAGCTAAGAATGGGGGCCAAACACCCGTATAAAAGTGGTCTTGAAAAATCAAGGACAATGTTCGATTTTACATAGAACTCCATAAACATTCAACAATGTCGAATAAAATACAGCCTCATCTAGGAAAAAAGCAAAATGGAAGCTAAACGATGAAACTGAAAAGGGAATCCCATTCAACTTAGGTAGATCATTTTAGCTCAAAATTAGGGAAATTACATTATTCAAAAACCTTCTCTATATCTTTTCCACGCTGGCGCCAGCAAACAAATTTTAAGCTTAGACAAACATTCTCAGCCAGGTCGACGACGAAAATGTTCCCGAACAGCCATTATGAGTGGGAGACCTCCAATAATCCAGTAGATCCATTCTCTCACACTAGGGGGTAACTGCTCGATCCAGTGTTCCCACCTAGACGATGAAGGGGGAGGAGGTGGCGGTGGCGATGGAGGAGGGGGAGGAGGTGGCGGAGGTGGCGGGGGTGGGGGGGGTGGCG